GACTGGGCATCGTGCCCTGAAGATCGAATCTCAATTTCAGGATACGTGTGGTTCTTCAACGGTGGGCCGGTCTCGCACTCTGCAAAGAAGCAGACCACTCAGGCCCTTTCGTCAACGGAGGCTGAATACATGGCGCTTACCTCTGCCATTCAAGACGGGTTGTGGCTTCAATCCTTTTTCACCTGTCTCAGCATCCCTCTGTCCCTCCCCATGCAACTCTTCGCTGATAACGCGGGCGCCATTGCTCTCTCCAAAGAGGCTGCAAACCATATACGTACGAAACACATCGACCTTCGCTATCACTTTATCAGACGACACATCGAGTGCAACATGTTCTTGCCGATCTGGATATCCACTCACAAGAACACTGCGGACATTTTCACTAAAGTCCTTCCCCGCCCTGCCTTTATTCATCACTGTTCCGGTCTTTCTCTCGCTTCATTTTGATTTAGATACTTTCGAGCATCGACTCGTTGAGGGGGTGTGTTGAGTTCAACATCGTCATCGCTCCACTTTGTCGTCATTATACTTTGTCATTTTCCTCTTTCGTCTTTGATATTCCAGACTCAATACCATAATATATATACCTTAGCCTTCGCGCGATTCATACCTCAGCGGTTCTATTACTACGACGCTGAGGTATGTTTCATCTTCTACTTGCACGCCGTCTATCTCTGACTCCGTTTCACGTATAGACTTGTTTACTAGGTACCATCAATATGAGCGGTTCTATTACTACGACGCTGAGACTTGTTTACTAGCCTCACCTTTCCACACTGGTGTGTAAGCGATGGGTGTGAGCGAGCTGCCTACTCATACCATACTATTATTAGATCCACGTGACACGGTTGCGGTGCCGTTGCTATACCCCAACACCGCCTAGTGACGGAAACCTTTAAGCTCGCCGTGCGACACAACGAGCTAGCGTATCTCACGTTCAAGTTATCAGATCAACGTATTCCGATAGTACATGCAGTAATGATTGAAATATGTAGGCGATCCCATGAACTAGACTAACTAGACTTATGGCAATATTTGGAACGGTACTATGATCATAGTATCTCCATCCAATCATCGATGACTCAATTCAGAGCGCTTGCGGGTTTGGCGATGCTGTGGAGTAGTTGTTTGCCTTCTTCGACACCCTCGGGATGTAAAAAATGAGTAGCTAAATACTCGGAAAAGGTGAAATTGCGAGGTGGGCAGGAGCAAGAGACGCTGTGCCACCTCACTTAATTTGCGTTTAGACTGAACATCTACGTCAGCCGAGGCACGAGGCTGACTTAAAAAACCAAGTCCGTCTATCAACGGTTGGCCTCATAGATGGGACTGGTCACGAATCTACTTACGCCGCTCTATCCACCGTAGCTTAGTCAGCCATTCAGGCTTTGTCCGTAATAGGTAAGTCTACTAGTGCTCTTCAAAGCTTCACCGGTGCACCACTTCTTGCTCGCGACACACAGGCACGCAGTCGCGGATACACCGCTCCAAGAGGATAAAAGCCTGAAATTTCGACTACAGTCACAAAACTACTGTCTTTAAGGTCAACAAGACACTAGATATCGGGTGGACTCCGGAACAGGAAGAAAAAGGAAAGGAACGCGTAGACCGTCGGCCGATGGCGACATCGAGCAACCTATGGCGAAAGAAAAGCAACAATATCATCAAGAAGTTTACCATGATCTATAGCCGTCAATCTCCCTGCTGTATGGAGGCCATCTAGACGAGTTGCCCAGAATCCCGGATTCACTCACCCAATATCAATATTTAATGACGAGACAATTCCGAAGCTGACTCGAATGACCTTTCAGCCGAAGACCCGACCATGGCACCACAAGGGGTAGATAGAAGTCGAGGAACTTGGCGTCCTTATGATTTGTCAGGGGATAGATCCAGCATGAATGTAGTCCTCAGCGAAGGCATCTTGGGCTGCGGGCAGCGATCAGGAATCAGGATAATCAGTGGAGAAGCACAACAGAACCGAATTCGTCAAAGATACTACACCAGCAATAGCAGCTCTTCTCAAATACCCCTCTAGTGCCCTAGTAATGTTTATAACACCTATTCCTTTATATCTTTGCTGATTCTGCATCACATATGTAGGAAGGATCAGTTTTTGATGTTCCCAGTGTCAAATCTGGATTTCCTTTTTGGTCACGTACACTCAAACTTTCTGTTGCAACTTGCTGCCCGAAATCTCATATTGACTTCAATCTTCCCATCTTGTTGATGTACTAGCACATGAGTGTTTTGCTGGCTTTTCGGGGGTAAGGAGGTTGCTTGGTGACACCGTGAGTGGCTTGGCGAACATATGACGTTCTCGAGCGTAGATATTGCGGACAGTCACCCAACCACTGGATGGTTTCATCTATGCTGGGGCAAATGGGGCAGTGCGGGTTTCGCTTTTTCTCCTTATCCTGTTGGCTTCACATTATTTATAGGGCATGAGTGTTCTCGTAACCTGACCTTTTTATCCTGATTGAACATCAGTGAACGCCTGAGTCCTAATGACGTCCCACCCGACCTATGAAGCGTACGGGCAACCATATGTGGACGAAAAGGCGTCGATGACCGCCGAAAAGCAAGATTCGGGAGGTTCTAGAGATGTTTTTGCTGAAGATGACGTCCACCAGATTCAGTACAAAACACTCAGCTGGCAGGTGCGTCTATGCAAGATTGCACGAAGTAAAATCTTGATCGACGTTACAGGCTGTCAGCCTCCTCATGATAGCCGAAATCGTCAGCAATGGTATCCTGTCTCTTCCAAGCGCACTGGCAGTCGTTGGTGAGCCCGCTGTCCTGTAAATTCCATGAGGAGCAGCGTTTTAACTTTTTACAAATCCCCAGGCATTGTGCCCGCTGTCATTCTAATCGTGTTTCTCGGTATTTTTGGCCTGTACACTGCGAAGTTGCTCATCGACTTCAAGCTGAATCATCCTAACGTGCATACCATGGGTAATAAATTCTGTCGTTAATTTTTTTCAGATACCTGAGATGCTTTAGGTGACGCTGGATACATTATGTCCGGACCTGTAGCTCGGGAGGTGCTTGCCTTCGGAACTGTTGCTTTCGCTGTGTTTGCTTCTGTGGGTCATCGAGTCAACTCGAATATGTCACAACTGAATTATGCCAAACAGGGTTCTGAACTACTTTCCAGCCAGCAGGCACTGTCAACGCTTTCGAATCAAGGCGTATGCAGCATGTATCTGGTTATTATCGCTGGTGCCGTTGGTTTCTTGATTTCGCTACCGCGGACACTGGATCGCTTGGCATGGATGGGTTTTCTTAGTGCAATAGTCATTGCCGTGGCTGGTTTCGTTGCAATGATTGGAGCAGGGGCGAACCCAGTTCCCGGACGGTCTCTGACAGTAGCTGCATCTAGTAACTTTTTCGATGCTTTCCTGGCTGTCACAAATCCTGTGGGTACCTTCTTGTGTCTTTGAGTTATTCAGCGTCGCTTATCCGCTCATTAGGTTTTTGCATACGCAGGTACGGAAATTTTATAATGTTAATCGACATTTTTAAATGCTTTATCAGGACACTTCATGTATGACTTTGCGCATGGTATTTCCGCTGAAGCTGACCTCTGACAGGTTCTTTATTCTGATATCTGAGATGCGTAGACCCGAGGATGCTATGAAGGTCAGAACGCTGCTGTACTTGATGTTGTGACTCTGAAGGCGTCTTCCAGGCAGCATGGTGTCTGCAAGGCTTCGCTACAGTATTTTATACTGTTTTCAGTGTAGTCGTATATGTCTACATTGGAAATACGGTGCAGTCCCCGGCCCTTTTTTCTCTTCCTCCGGCATGGGCAAAGGCAACGTTTGCTATTGCTCTCGCAAATTTCCTGTTGTCAGTGATACTTTGCTGTTTGGTCTAATCCTTACTAAATCCTTTTCGGGAAGCACTTCCGGGCTATACGTTCATACAGCTGCAAAGCTGGTGTTTGTTCGCATATTTCGTCATTCAGAGCACATCCATTCGCATACCTTACTCGGATGGACGGTTTGGGCTCTGCTGTGCTTTACAGGCGTAGCTGTCGCTGCAATTCTCGCTATCGCAGTTCCGATATTTTCCTACCTGATCGGCATTGCGGCAGCCCTCTTTGCCGCATGGTACACGTACGGTTTGGCCGGATTCTTCTGGTTGCATGACGTATATCATCTCAAGGGTGGCGTAGACGGGCTCAAAGGACGACCAATCGGGACTATACTCGCAGTGCTGACTATCATTGCCGGCGCTTTTATCTGTGCCGCTGGGACTTATGTGTCGATAAAGGTCAGTGTTCGTGTCTTCGCATCTGACATTCGTCTCACCATCGGTGATCAATAATAGCTCATCGTCGAAGCATACGCCAGTGGCCAGGTTGGTAAACCTTTTATTTGCTAGGGGGGTTCCATTGCGGCATAGCCTATGTGTAGTCCGTGTCGGTCCTTTAAAATTAACATTAGAGCTTTTCCAAGGACAGTTAGATCATAGGTTTGGTTGGGCCTGAGAATTTAGTCAGTGATGTGACCCAGATCATTAATAGTCCTTGAGGCGCTCCAAATGCGCTGGTTGCCGGAACTAAGTTAGTCCCAGTGGGACATTCATATCAATGACGTCTTTTTAGCTGCGTAATGATAGGTAGCTACGCCCCAGCCCAAGCCAATCGACGCTGACTCGGAGGCCTGAGGATTAGCTCGAGGATGTATAGTTTGTTGGCTTGAAGTCCAAGTCTGTATCTTCAAGTGAGCGCCAGTGATGACGTTAAACGACAGACTTCCACTTCTCAAGGGCCCAGGTCATGTATCATGTGGAATATCGCGGAGATTTGCTCCGGATTGTTGCTTCGGATACTGGTATACGTGTGCGCGATGGATAGTAATTGAAAATTTGAAACACGACGCGTGTCGTGACTCGGATTTATCGTACATAGCCTTTGATGAGCGCAGCTTTGAAAGCACGCCTGGAGAGTTGACTGTTCCCGACTGCGACTACCCACACCTTTCTCTTCTGCTATGACCACCGCTGCGAGACAGCATGAGCTCCCTATATTCGCACGTCCTCCAAAGACGTGGACCCAGACGCTCAATGGGTTGTTCTTCTTCATATTGTTTATCCCAGGATGTCTCATGATTCACGGGGTTCAACTTTTCATTCTATTGCCCTTGAAGCTTTTCTCTTCAAGCCCACGAGCCTGGAAGTTATATGACGAGGGGGTACGATATACGAAGGGCGCTTTTGCGACGCTTATGAGTGAGTCATCATGCATGATGCCGGCGATACGCTATATGACGACACGTACTATGTATTAGATTTGATGAACCAATGGTTTGCCCCGACACGCCTTTCCATCACATTCGAACGGGCAGGACCAGGGAAAATCACAGAGGAGGAAATCAAACATATAGTCGAACGCGATGCGTCTGGCAGGGTGGTGGCCTTACGCCTACCGTCTAAAACGGTCGTTATCGCGAACCATCAGGTTCGTCATCACCCTGATCGTGTAGCGTCCGCTGATTCGCTCTCAGGTCTACTCTGACTGGTGGTATGTCTGGTGCCTCACATACTTCATGGGAACGCACAAGGATGTCTTCATTGTATTGAAGAACAGCCTGAAGTGGATTCCTCTCGTTGGGCCAGTACGTGGATTCCGTGAATTTGGAGCTCTTTGCTAAATGACGACGAAGGCAATGCAAATATTTAGATTCATCTTTCTAGCGCGTTCATGGGCCTCTGATAGAATACAATTATCAGCGAAACTCACAAAAATTGGCCGACAAGCAGAACAAGAAGACAACCCATTCACGTTTATTCTATTTCCAGAAGGCACCCTTGTGAGCAAAGATACACGCCCTATCAGCAGGAAATATGCGGATAAGCTTGGTGTTGTGCGTTTCTACTGCCATTCTGAGTGAAGTTGATGACGACCATGTTTCCTCTAGCCCGATCCACTAAATATCTTGCTGCCTCGGTCGACGGGGCTTCACTATAGTCTTCGCTCACTTGCCTCGCGCGTGCCATCTTTGAAATTGATCGACATCACGATGGTATATCCAGGTATGTTCCTGGCTGCTCTAATATTCCGCTAACCATCGTTACTGCTGCTAGGCATACCGCCAAAGGGATACGGGCAATCTTTCTACACACTCCGCTCGATATTCTGCGACCGCGTACCTCCGCCTATAGTGCACATGCATCTAAGAATATTTGACGTCGCAAAGGATGTTCCCATAGGAGACATCTCAGGGACGAATCCCGCTGTGACTCCCGACGGATCTAAACCTATCGAAGTGGACTTCCCAGAACAGGAGAAGACTGTCTTTGATGAATGGCTTAGGAAGTTGTGGATGGACAAGGATGAATTTATCACGACGTTCCATCGCTTAGATGGGTTCCCCTCTGGTCATCACGGCACTGTCGAAATCCCACTAGAACTAGGGAGTAAACGGGAGATACCGATTGCTTTCTGTTGTTTTGTTCCAGTGGCAGCATATGTATTATGGTCAAGGTTGGTGCAGGCTGTTTTATGACGGTTTGTTGTGTACTATGTTGTAATTCTGGATGTCTCTCGGAGTCTTTGATGTAGTAATACTTCACAAGTTCTGGGCTGGATGAGGTGAGATGATGTAAACAATTAGGCGGACGAAGTCGAGCGGTAAGTATGGTACTATACAAGTTGCGGCTCATGATTGTTGCGGGCGTTGCGACTCTATGGTCTTGATGATGAATAAACTGGTATCCATGAAGCGATCCACACAATTCAAGAGACAGCTCTCCTCCCCACGGGCGAAGCGAGACCCTGGAGTGCCAGTGACACATCTGCATCAAATAATTTATCAAGAGAAGGGTCACGAATGCCAAGACGGAGGCTCACTTGTCCCAACACATGCTTGTTAGGTTATGCACGGTGGAGTTGATGCGAGCTTGAGCTTGTTCACGTTCTAAGAACGTGGTAAGCTCTTTCTATAAAAACTACCTGAGAATCAATGGGAAGTGTTAAATGTGGGGACGTACTTGGGTAGCCTCGTCGAACTTGACGTTGTCCATTATGTGGTTAGACCAAGACAACTAGTCTGTGAAATGAATTTGCTACAGGAAAAATCAGGATTTAATTTGGAAATAATTTCTCACGTTTGATTCCGCGAAGGTTGATCGATCGGCATATTGAAGCTCGATGTTTATGTTCGTCCCAGCGGCTGGCTGGTTGGCAAGAGGACTCATCTATAAGTTAGGTTCATTCGTCGCAACCCAACAAACATTGTTGCGATGGTTTAATTTTGCTGGCGATTGACCTAGGACAGTACAGGCACTCATGTCGACATAGCCTGGCCCCGTGGCACTACACGTGAGATTCTGTCAATTAAGCATACCTGCAATACAAATGGTCATCATCAATAGGAAAGATTACTGCCTCATGTTTCCTTGCATAAGTAGCCCATCCATCCTCAGCAGCTCCCATATCCTTCAATGGCTTCAACTTCCGACTACCATCTCCAGCCTGCTACTAACTGGTCAACCGAACCTCCTCCTCTGTATGTTTCCATCCACTCCACTGACGTAGCTCATTGTTCAAAACTTTCTTGATGTCCTCAGCGTGGGATACCTAAGTCGTAAAACTCTTCCCATAAAGCGCAACGACGCAGAACCTCTCACCCGAGAGGACGTTCAGTTCGATCTCCTTGGCCATATATTCAATGACAAGCACAAAGTTTTCACCCCCCAAGCTCCCAGCGAGGACCCCAAGGTCCACTTCTGCGATCTCTACGTCAATGCACTGTATATGTCACACAAGTGTTCCAAAGTCCTCAAAGACAAGATGGCCGAAACACCTGCCTTTGCAGTCGAACTTGCCAAAATTTCTCTTCTGACAAACGTGGGGCGCATCAACACCACTATGGCATGTAAGTCTGCATCGCGCTTCGTTCCTTAAACGTGCTCATAACGAAGGCAGTCTTTCCAGAAATGAAGACAGCCTTGCGGACTTATCATCCGGTACCCTCGCTTCAAAAGACCGATGGTAATGCCCAAGATGCCCCGCGGATCAAGAACTGTCTCAAGGCTGCCTTGCTCCCATCTGAGCTTAAGAACATGCCTCCGTCTACTCCGGAAGAAATCTTGCAGAAGAGCGTACGCGAATTCATCACCATGGTTCTTCATGCAGCAGCTCATCTTCATACCGCCAGAGGGCTCGTGAACTTCCATCTACAAGTGTTGTGAATTTAATATTCGTTCTAGCAAACCATGCGGGCGTAAGGTTTCTATTTGTGTCTAGTCTCCTCGCACTGACTGCTTGTCAGCCCCTTGCAAGTACTCACTTCGATCCGCCCCTGAACTTCCTGGATCTTTTTTTGCCCATCAACATAGCTTCAGCTGACCGCGCGCGCGCGTTTCTATGGCTCGTATTTCACTATCTGGAGGGCCCTGATCAACCAAATCCGTACGATGATGACTACTCCCGCCAAAATCCCGGCAAGGTTCCTTGGCTGCGCCGTCTCACAGAAGCAGAGATGGCACAGGAAAATATAGACTCTCCTGATGAAATCGAATGGGGCAAGTCGATGTCAGCACAAAGAAACCTCTTTCTGCAAAGACTCGTCCACTCTATCGAAAAAGAGAAAAAGGTCAAGGCCGCTGCGTCTGCATCTAAATGTGCGACTATTTGTCATTCACTGATTTAGTTATCCGTTAACCATTTGATCAGTGACTGAGCCCACTTCTGGTCGTTCAAGACCCTCCAGATCACAGCAAGAAGGTACCAGGGACAAACCTTACATCCACTATCTTCCCCCCGACCGTGCACCCCAGATTACCCGTTCTGGTATGTTCTTCCTTAGTGCTTCTGGGTGTTCCGTTCTCATATCCCTACAGTTAGCGAAGACCATAGAGTTAACTATAGTAGCTCTCGTGGACCTCATAGAAGCATGCTGCAACGTGGGTGACAAGCAGTGTTTCGTGTACATTGATGTGTATGGGCACCACTAGATGCTTGGCAGGTCGTCACTTCTACCGATCCCTTGGCAGACTCGGATGAAGAACTACAGGACGAACACGTTAGACTTGACTACAGTAAGCGACAATAAGTCATCAGCCCATGGTCTCAATGTTGACGTTACTAAGGCAGACGTGTAGACGTCATTGCTCGATTGCGTGGGCGGCCTCCATCACCGCTTCCAGATCTACTGCCACCGGCCAGCAGCACTAGTTCATACCCGCCACCTAGTAGTATTTCTGATACCCGTGAACACCGGTGGCGAACGGTGGAATCGTGGAAGTAGTTCGCAGTCACGCGTCCCACGGACAAAAGGAAGTAATCAAGTACCGACAGCCCTTGTGTGCATAATACCCATAGCCAAGGGGATATACTCCCTCGGGAAAGTTGTACTCGTACTAGTAAGAACTACTAATAGCAACACGTAAATGATGGTGTGTAAGCGTAGGCAGTGGTGTCGAAGGAGCGCACGTGTACCAGACAGGGTTTGCGATCGTACAACACGGTGCGGCAAGAAGTAAAAGAAGCAGCGGATTTGTGTCCAGAGGTTACGCAACCCCGTGTCATCAAGACACGCGGCAGCGTATTTACACTAAGAAGACTAGGTCCAATAAGCTGTCCATGGAAATGACTGCACGGCAGTACCAAGATAAAGTCCAAAATGTCTATGTGTTCAAAAAGCCCCAGGCAGTGACATAATTGGATGCTCGAAGCCAGAGCGTCCTCTTAGTTGCATCTCCGCGGGAGCGCTGTGTCTCTTTGACCTAGGTTGATGGTTTGCGAGGCATACGAGAGGAGGGGACGTGCGACGTTTGATGGTGGTAATCATTTCACGAGCAGTGTTGGCTCGGCCAAGGGCGTGCATATTGGACTCAGTGAACTCGCATATCGCATTACCACGAGCACGAGGACTGGCTACCGCGATGTTCGGGTAACAAGGAGAGTTGGGCATGGCGCTTGTCCGCATATGAGAAATAGAGTCACTGCTCTGACGGCGCCTGACAGGCATGTGTAATCTGCCGATGTTGATACTAGGTTTCGTGTCCGAGACAGTCCGTGTAGACGATGAGTTTTTGTCGCTCCTTAGGAACATGGGTAGACGGGGTGTTGCAAAGATTGGCTCATTGGCCATCGGTGGGGGAGGATGGGGTGGTCCAACGCGGGCGATGATCTCTTCCAGCGATGGAAGTTTGCGTCTACCCAAGTTCAGGTCTGCCTTGGGCTTGCTGATAGGTAAACGACAATCCGTCTGTTCGTGCCAGGTGCGGCGCTCGCGGAGGCCGTTTCTAATCCAACCATCATGCTCCTCGGCAGATGAATTAAAAGACGGTGAGCTGAGGCCGAGAGATGGGAATGTGCAATAATTAACGCCAGGGAACTCCACAGAAATCTTAGAACCTGTAGTAGACAACGTAGGTTCCTGGATTCTTGATAGGAAGGATGCACGACGTTCGACTGTAAATAAGCGCATAACGGAATGAGATCGTAACTCATTCATGATACCGATCCATTTGACTCACGTTGTTTGTTTCTCTGGTTCTTGATGGCAAGTTCCTTGCGCAGATCTGGGACCTTTCTCGAACCGAGCGCAGCTCTCTTGTCACGCGACACTTCGAGAAGCAGATCAAACTGATCACGATGAAGTTCTCTTGGAGGAGGACAGTCTGCAGGACGAAGAGGAGACGAATGCCTGGGAGATATGGCTGGAAAGTGATACTGGGGGCTCGGCGACTGAGGGCGGTGCTCGCAATCATCCTTGTCTGTGTTGCGTGCGGAGAGAAACGGGGAGTAGGGCTCTGGACATGCCTTGACTGGCGAAGCAGGGGAAATGCGGATGTGAGGGATGGATGTACCGATGGCGGATAACATGGCTTGGGAGGGCGACCGGCGCCAACTGTAAAAAGAATGAAAGAATGAAAAGAATGGAAGCTTGTCGGGTGGACGTATAAAAGGAGCGGTAAAGGTGGCAAACACGAGGAGTTTCACCACGCTCGCGAGTCGCAGCGCTAGATATGTTAGTACATAAAGCGGCGTGCCACACTAGGAATTGCTCGGTCCTGGTTTATCTTATCATCCAGATTTCACCTGGTTGTACAGAACGACAACACTGTATCCTGCCAACAGATCATATAATATTAATAGCACCGCTTTCCATCATGCCAGCTGGCTTACTATAACTCCACGGGCCGCCCAAGCATTTTCCCGGGTACTACTTTCAAACACTTAAATCATTGTTACAGAGCGTGGTATCTCCTACTGATACTAATATTACAACAATAACACGGGCGAGGACATGTTTCACCAGCCTGAATCCCAATTTTCAACCCAACCGATCACAGGCCTTCCGCTGCAATTGCCTCTTTTTGTTTCTCGTGGAACAGCTTCTCTGCATCAGTCCAGACCCTGGTAGTCTTTCGTCGAGGAAGCTCCAAGAGTGATGGTAACAAATCGTTGCTGAATTGTTCGGAAGCCTCGCGGGGCAACAGCGTTGGTAGGTGATCAATGGAGATCACCGACAACAACGGCAAATCTTGTCTGGTGCACAAGTCAAGACATTAGCTGGTTCAGGCAATGTACCAAAGTTACGCACCCGAGATCAACAGGAACAGTTGGTTCGGAAAATGTTGTGTTTATACTGTAAATTGGGATGGGGTTGAATGGGTTCGTCGTGTCGCAACTGACATCCACAACTACCGACAGCCGTCTATTTTGGCCGGCAGCGATAATTTGGTCTTTGTCCAAGAAAGGTGGGATAAAAGACGACAGGTAGATGCAATTTACAAAGATATCCACGTCAAGGATTTCCTGGAATGGACCACCTTTGGCAGTCTCAGCCATATCCCACTTTAATATGTCGTCCCTACGAAGACTTGTCAAGACATATACTGCCTGGCTTCGTGCGATCACTCACTCAGACAAACCGATCTTGCGGAAAAGATCCACAGCTCCGCGTCCACATCGTCCGAGGGCACCAATCACGAGAGCTTTGACGCCCTTGGCGCTGCCGCCGAGTGTGTTTTTGACACCTTCGATCATGGCAGTCTCATTCTCGTAGGGTTCTAAACGGCCCAACTTTTCTCCTGATCGTCGTGCAGCCAAAGCGAGTGCGCCAGCGGCGGCACCAGCAAAGCCAGCATGGTATCCAAAAGCAGCAACCCGCCGACCCGTAGCATCGGTGAGGAACTCCAGATCATAGAGTGTACCTCCTCCCTTGTAGAAGCGAGCCAGTACAGATGACCATCCTGCTTGACGCTTATAGCAGTGAGCAAACTGAATGTGTGTGTGAGGCAGGGGTTCCTGAGATGCTGGAAGTTCCTTCAACCCGATGATGAGGGCATCTGTAGGGGCCGTGGGCCATGAGCTGTTATCCACTAACGTACAACCAACACTACGACGCGTGTTTAGCGGACGATAACGGTTATATCATTCGCACATACGCTTCGAACTCGACGTCATCGAAAATCCGTTGTTCATCACGTTCGACGCTGATTTGGAAGCCAGCATCGATCAGCTTCTTCGCCGTGGTAGGCGTAAGGGCTGAGCGACGCTCGAACTCCTTCTTTTCGCAACGAAGCCAGAGGCGTTGGGTAGACATGATTGATCGAGGTGTGCACCACTAGTTTGTTCTAACCGACGAATATTTAATAACTAGATCAAGCAGAGTCAAAGTGACTCGCGATCGGAGTCACTCCGAACTTTAATTTTAAAATGAGATTTTACGATCATGTGACTTGACGCGTCGTGAAACGCGTGACTCGAGGAGAAGGCTTAGCCAGAACGGGTCAGCGACTGGACTATATATGCATGCTCGGCATAACGCACATACTGCCACTGGCACGTCGAATCATGTGGTATGGACAGTTTTACAATGATAACGATTCTAGCAGTCCGCTAGGCCCAGGGCCCTGAACTATAAAAGAAAGGACAAACACACTCCGGAAGTCTCTAGCAAGTTTGGAACACTGAATTAGTGACATATTATTGTCACCTGTCAGAGTCTTACACTGAGGTATCTTTTATAACGATCTCGACCAATGATTGATAATTCCTGCAATACCACCATCATGTCGACGCTCATCAACCTAGGTCCTAGGCGGCCTTCGTCGCTTTTATTCTCCTGCAAGCTGCATGTGAAGCGACCGTATGTTTAATTGGCATTGCACACACGAGGTTTCAGAGCGGAAAATCGAGAATGGCAATGGACACGGCGCGCTCCAGTACATGCCAATTCAGTCACATGTATCAGGTATATTGGCAAAGCTTATATTAACTTCGTCTGCTACTTAGTACTTAAATAGTATTCATAGACTATGCACGACGCAACGTAATTTCCCAAGATACTGTGTTTAATTTTTTTGAACTTACTCCCAGTAGCGAAATGGCCAGGAACACGTTACAACAATAATATTTGTGTTCTCTTTGTCTGAATCAGGATTGCCCATATAACCTCGCTGCAGCCTCCAGCTTCCCACCCTCGAACTTTTTGTACCGTTCAACAGCAGTCCCCGCTGGAACATACGGGTCGCCTCGAACAAGGCCCTCCATTGTCTCTTTCGTGTATTCTTCAAGCGTAAGCCAGAAACGACTCAGTCCTTGCGTTGCACCTTGGACTAATGCACAGGTCAAGAGACAGTAGAGACGAAAAAGAATTGAAGGGAACTCACAGCCGTGCAGCTCCGACTCGACGAGTCTTCGCGACAATGAGTTCGATAACAATGAAACAAATGAAGTAACTCACGGAGGAATAATCTCGACCACGTGAACATTCTTCTTCTTGAGCTGAACAGCTAGTGAGATACTCAAACTGTGGAGGGCAGATTTTGTTGCGCAGTAGTCAGGGACTCCGGCGGCGGGATAGATGGACAGTCCTGAGGAAACTGGGTACAAGAATGTCGGACGGCCTTGCTCCTGCACAAGGGTCAGGGATGAAAGAAAAATTAAAAAAATGCTCTTACTCCAAGCTTGATAAGATGAGGGAGGAAGAAAGTGATCATTCTGACAATTGAAGTATAATTGGTGGCAAGTTCACACTCGAGAGCTGACCGAAATTAGTATGTCATAGGTGCACAGTGGGAGAGACCTACAGTCGAGATCAATGGTATCTGGCCTCGTGAAGTCGAAAGCACGTTGAATGCCACTCGAGAAAAGAACAGCGTCAAGCTAAAAAGCCGGTCAGCTGGTTTACAGGGGACAGTGCTACGGGTACATACGTCTGGGTAAGTGTTGACGATATCTTCGATGGAAGACTTGAGAGCGTTGCGTTCTGAAAGCACGTCAAGAGTAACACTCTTGAGTCGTCCGGTGGCATTGTGGGAGGCAACCAGTTCGTCGAGCCTTTCCTTGCGGCGCCCACAGACAATGACGGTTGGCTGAGAAGGGAGGTCCAAGATTGCAAGGGCAAGGGAACGACCTATCCCTGACGTGGATCCAATGACAAGGACACACTTACAATCGCTGATGCTAGGCATGATGGAGGAGCAAGTTTTGTGGTATTAGGCTAATAGTAGTTGGAGAAGGAGATGAATGCGCTAACCTTTATAACTACGTGATCATGATCTGTAATCTGTTGTCATCACAGCCACTTGCTGTGACAGGGAATGATGCATTTATACGAGGGATCAGAATTGCATTGCCACTCAGGGGACGCGTATTCTCGATTTTCTGTTCCCGAGTGCAATATGCATAGGCTGACACTTATATCACCCCATGTGCCCATGCTTCTGCCAACAGTCTGATGCTTGTATAAGCTTCATGCAAGGGGGACCGAACTTACCATGCCTTCGAAGTGTCGAGAATAGTATCTCGAAAAAGCGATGCTGTACAGCAAAGAGAAACCGATCAGCGCTTCAGCTTCCATGCGCCTGCGAAAAGCTACGCACCTCGTAATAACCCACCGAAAAATTTGTGATAGGGTCAGAATATTCCAACAACGGCTTGCTCATTCACAGCAAACTCGCGCTGTCGCAGAGAAGAGCTTCAAGGAAACAACTCACTCGCAGAATGGGCCTAGCGCTTCCGCAAGCAGCTCCGTCTGTAACGCCAGGAAATCAACTGCATCAAGCACAACTTGTTGAGGTCAGACTACCACTGATTTGAGGGGAGGAGATGCTACACGAAAGTCTGGGGACAATGGAAGCTGGCAGGGAATGTTTCTTCGATATTGCAGCTCAAGCGATTGTTGTATGTCGAAGTGCTAGAACTGCAGGGTAGTGGCATGTAGTAACAGTAATATTGATGAAAACAGTCGTGAACAAGCCGTTAGAAAATTCGTGCACTGAAAATGCAGTTGCACATAGCGTAGCATTACTTGGATTCACAAACGAAGCATGAACCAGTGCCATTTCTCTTGAAAAGATGGAAGTAAAACGTTAATGAGTTGGATGGTGTATTACAGTAATCCATTTATCAGAATTTTGCTTGTTAAATACGACGACAACGATGATGGAGGTATGATGCCGATGAGCCTAGCCGCAAGTCACGTGTTCACGGTACTAGCCCTGATGCTCCACTTACGTACAGTTGATATTTCGGTTCAAGCCTTCAGCTTCAGGTGCAGTGACCTGCTGGTGATTCTGTCTGAAGCAGTCAGATCTCACGTTGCCTTTTGTATGCAACCGCTCAGTAAAATGCAGGATCATGCACATGTGCTGAAAAGTTCGCAATGCACCGGAATTGTCAATGATCAACGCGGTTTTGGTCAAGCGCTGCAGGGAGAATCGATTATCGATTGAATTTGCCGCATGGGCCTCGTGGCTACCTCATGAACTTTGAAAGCTATAATTTACATCCACGATCCCTCCATTCCATCCTCTGACCCTTGCATACAAGATGCCCAACAAAATACCCATGCCTACTGCTGCAGACATCACTCGCATGACATACAAAGGGGCAGAACAGCTCCGGAGCGAGCAGCGTCCAGGAGGGGACCCAAGTAAACTGGACTTTGGGATAGTACCGACCTGCTATAATTGCGACATACCTATCATGGGTCGTAAAGTACGTTCAAATAGTTACGCTTTAGCCGGTGATTGACTTCGAGTCATTAGCCCTTGATCTGCTCGGGTTGTAGATCCGCTGTATTCTGCTCGAAGAATGTCAATTTACATCTCCATTAATATCTAGGCACTCGCTTATCTTCGACTTTTCAGTGCCATACCGCAAACTGGAAGGCAGGGAGGTTTGGAGCCCAAGGTCACAAATTCTTCTGTGCAAAGAATAAGGTACGAATGATCAGTGCTTACCTGTTCTTTCCCAAAGTACCGTTTATTCGTATTGTCTGACGAATTCCATCTCAGGTACATATGGAGAAGGTCCCGCAAGTGCAAGCCCTTCTGAAGCAATTTCCCTGGGGTCGCATCGAGACGGATGGCACCTTTGCCGAACCCATCGTACGTGCCTATCACAATGTCTTGGGTGCAGAGGGTTTCGGCTACTGGAGCATTCCCGGAGGCTCCAACCCACACCTTCAGCAGCCAAGTAATACTTCCGGCCCATCTGGAGCGCTTCGCGTCGACGATACAAAGGGATTTGAACACGGCTATATGCTGCTTTCAAATAAACTATTGACGGATGAGACTGGCTGGAAACTGGAGAAGCGTTTAATCCCCCGATTGGTTTTTGAGCTTGGCACGGAGCCTGAGCTTGCTTCCAACGTGGATATCGTGGACTGGGATTCATGGTACAAGTGGCGAAATATCCCCAAGGAATCACCGGCAGCCTTGTTGTTGCATTACCCTCTCACCGTATACCAGCTTTTGGTGAACGTGCTCCAGGTCGCAGGGCCCAAAAGAAGTTCTTCAGAGAGCCGTCAGGCGCTCAACGTACATTATATCGGCGCTGAAGTTGAATTGAATATGCTTCCCCTGTATGTGGGGACTGTCAGCGGTTAATCTTTTCCATGCTGATTATCATCATCGTGCTAGATTCTCTGAACTAGCGTTGCTGCTTCCTCACACAGATATCAAGATGACTTTCTTCGGCATCGCAGTCCACTCTATTGTTAGTAAGGCAAAGAAGAATAGCATCGCTATGAAGGCGAAACAGAACGAGCCAGTCTACACCTACACCAGCCCTGCATCTTGCGGAGCCAGCACTCTGTCCCTTTTTCTCCATGGAGATCATGAAAATTGGGACCCGCGGCTCCCTTTGCTCCTAGGAAGCAAACCAGACGCTATCGTCGGTCTGAATGCTGGGCTCACCAGTTACCCAGCGTGGCAGTTCGTCATCTTGTGCTGTCACACTGATAATACGCCTTTTGCCGTCTCCGAATACGCAGAACAATCCGCCGAACTTCAAAGAGATGCAATTCCCCAGATCATTGCTCATGCCCTCCCTCGCTTACACTCAGCAGGCATGATTGGCCCGGAGATTTACAATCTTACGCGGCCCAGAGAATACCCCATCGCATTTAATCCATTCCAGCGTCCTGGACAGAGAAACTTGGGCTCGGTGCGATTGCCGAACGTACCGAATGGGTTTACGATGAGAGTGGTTGGTGGCGACGAGCAGGAGATAATCCACCCCGTATCCGCTGGTGTCCCTGTACCAGTTCCAGACATGAGCGAGCTGCTCCAGAAGACGGAGCAGTTTTCGCTGAACCGTTTGGACTGAGTATCTTGGCATCTACACATATCTTTACTTGAGATGCGTCAAATGACGAACGCTACATCGAGTAGGCAATACTGTTCATCAGGCATCCAGAGGATTTGTAGTGACTGGTTTACACGTCCCTGACTACTTCGACTATATGCAACCTAGTTTTTCCAATTGGGACTCAGATTTTCGCATTATATTCCAGCAGTGCAGCACTCTCAAATTCAAGAGAATTCTTTTTGAGAGAAGAACCTGAACGGCAATCACTATACACTCTGAGCCTGATTGCAGAGGAAACCTACGTTCCAGACGTTCCAATATGTGCTTTATGTCTGAGTCATTGCCTTGAAACGCCCATGCATCTTCGTTGCAGCCTCCAACTTTCCTTCCTCAAACTGTTTGTGCTGTTCGATGACCATCCCCGCTGGAACGTATGGGTCACCTCGAACAAGGCCCTCCATCGTCACCTTCGTGTATTCTTCGAGCGAAAGCCAGAAATTGGATAGACGTTGCGTTGTGCCTTCGACTAACGCGCAGGTCAAGAGACAGTAGATACGGAAAACTGGAAGGGAACTCACAGTCATGCAATTCCGACTCGACGAGTCTTTAAGCGGCAATGAGACCGACGACAACGGAACAGATAGTGTCACTCACGGAGGAATAATCTCGACCACGTGAACATTCTTCTCCTTAAGCTGAATAGCGAGTGAGATACTCAAGCTGTGGACAGCAGATTTTGTCGCGCAGTAGTTAGCGATTCCAGTGGCGGGAACAATGGAAAGTCCTGAGGAAACTGTGTACAAGAATGTCGGACGGCCTTGCTCCTGCACGAGGGTCAGATAAACGAGAAAAGAATAAAAAATGCTCATACCCCAAGCTTGATAAGATGAGGGAGGAAGAAAGTGATCATCCTGACAATTGAGGTGTAATTGGTGGCAAGTTCACACTCGAGAGCTGACCGAAATTATTATATCATAGGTGCACAGTGGGAGAGACCTACAGTCGAGATCAATGGTATCTGGCCTCGTGAAGTCGAAAGCACGTTGAATGCCACTCGAGAAAAGAACAGCGTCAAGCTAAAAAGCCGGTCAGCTGGTTTACAGGGGACAGTGCTACGGGTACATACGTCTGGGTAAGTGTTGACGATATCTTCGATAGAAGACTTGAGAGCGTTGCGTTCTGAAAGCACGTCAAGAGTAACACTCTTGAGTCGTCCGGTGGCATTGTGGGAGGCAACCAGTTCGTCGAGCCTTTCCTTTCGGCGACCGCAGACAATGACAGTTGGCTGAGAAGGGAGGTCCAAGATTGCAAGGGCAAGGGCCCGACCTATTCCTGCAGTGGATCCAACGACGAGGATGCACTTTGAATCGCTGATGCTGGGCATGATAGAAGAGTAAGTTTGATAATTTGCCGAAAGAAAGGGGCGTGAAAGTGCTGACCTTTATACCTGCGACCACCTGTTCAAAATTGACTTGTGAACCGGCGTCATTACAGCCGCGATACATGAATAATCATCGCTGCGTCATTCGATGCCACTGTGCGAGACTCATTGTCAGCGTTTTTTTTCAGCTGTGTAACAAGGAAGGGTTGATGTATCTGATTTGTTCGCCGTAGAACACGTCCTTGTTCGGCTCTCATTGCTCTATGTAATGATTTGTCATTGGCTACCAGTTGGTCTAATAGGTCCTCTGCATCAAATTTTAAACGGCACGATTTACAATGTGGCATCAGCCACATGAAATAACACACTTCTGACCAGCCGTTCACTCCGTACCAAATATCGTGAGGAACATAGTAAACATAGCGTGTAATACTCATAAGTTCCAAGTTGGCAACTTGGATCCAAACCAAATTCATTCATCGTAATGGCGGATGACCAACATTTACCTTCCGACGCGTCCACCCCATACAAGTCCGTCAATGAACACGAAATCAAGGTGAGCATCAAATTCAGGGTCGAGTGTCGATTATCTGATCAATTTGAACGGCAGAAAAACATTACCGAGGCAGATGAATTGAAGCAGGAGGGCAATGAGTCGTTCCGAGCCAGTAGATGGAATGAAGCTCTCGTGTCATACAGAACTGCTCTGAGTCGACTACCCAGACGAAAGCCGCAGCCTCCTTCCCCAGATAACTCACAGGATGATACGTCAGATCACGGTGGTGCCCGATCGGCGAGTTCAGGCGAGGTGCCAACGCGAGAGGAGGGGCCAGAGCCAGCCAGCATCCCCTCGGAGCTCGAGGCAGAATGTGCCAAGGCTCGAGCCGTGTTGAACGCCAACATTGGTGCATGTCTGGTAAAACTTGTATGCAAATCAATCCTTGATGTTTCAAAGATCTCACTGTAATCGATCAGAGCGATTACAGCGGTGCAGTTGAATCATGCACCCAATGTAAGTCGTCTGCAAAAACAGAAAGAATATCCATACATGTTTCGCTGCAGCATTACTCGATGACCCTCACTATATCAAGGCCCTGCAGCGGCGAGCGGCTTCTAACGAACATCTCGACACATGGTCGTCTTTAACACAAGCACAAGAAGGTATGCTTTGTTGCTCAAGGGCACCTTAACGTATCTTAAGCAAAATCATCTAGATTACAAGTCACTCCTGGAATTGCTACCCCCTACGTCTCCTCAGGTGGCACAGACCAAGCGGAGCCTGCAGCTTCTTGAACCTCGCCAGCAAGCGGCTCAGAAGAAAGAAATGGCCGAGATGACGGGCAAACTGAAGAACCTCGGCAATAGCATACTGGGTATGTCGTTATTTTCCTCTGCAAACTGATAAGCCTGACGGTGAAACTGTCAGGCAATTTCGGATTGTCCACTGACAACTTCAAGTTTGAACCAAATGGTCAAGGCGGTTACTCCATGAACTTTGCTCGATAGTATTGATCTTGAATTCCCTCAAATCGCAGTATGCCACATTGTATTAGAAAGCACGTCGTCAGTGTATAATTCCTGTCTATTCTAGACTGTTATCCCGTGTGTCAATGGTCGATGTAAGTTGCGTTCTTAGAGAAGACGGTGAACCGGTTGAGCGGGTAAATCTATGTAAAGCAAGTCTCGCCGTCATGGAATCTGTTGCATGAGAAATTTGTGCACTTACCCTGGCAGCGATTCTGCCTCTTACTAAGGCCATAGACACAGGACCATAATCGCGCGAGTCTTTTGACCAGGCGGCGTTGTCACCAGCAACCCAAATGTGCCCTTTGGGAACGAGAACATGCTCGGTCGAATGAGCTTTGAGCCCAGTTGGATCGACGCAAACTACATCGCCCGGAAGGCCAATTACCCTTTTGCAAATAATGCGAGAAGGATCAACGGGTGATGTCAAGGTTATAAGCTCCCCTCTTCCAAGTTGATTAGGAAATAACCGATGGGGGAGAATGCTTTCGAGGACCAGTTCGCCACTATTGTCGAGCGTTGGAAGCATAGAAGGACCAGCCATCTATGTTTTATCAGAACGGTCGATGATGGGTGGTTAGATTCACGAACGAAGCATAGGCCGGCGACATTTTCCTTGAAAAGGTGAAAGGCAAAACCGAAGTTAATGAGCTGGAGAACGTCAATGAATGTCCGTGGAACTGGTTGTTGGATACGAACATGTAGACAAGTAAGACCGACTTTCTTGATGGCTGGTTCTGCAAGGTGCAACCATGATGGGGGTATCATTGAAGCGAAACATGTCAAAAATATTTATGTAAATATTTTTACATCGGTAAGCATACAATTTGAAATTGAGTAGCCTCTTCATGCAGGGAAGATCTACTGCAGGACGCTTATGATGTCTTCTTTCAAACGTAAAACACTGTCAGGTCGCGCTAACCTACCCCAAGGCACTCGTCTTTCCCCGGTTTCTACTTCTACCGTAATAACTTCAACTGGGATACCTTCACTTGATGATATTCTCGGTGGGGGACTACCTTTGTCTTGCTCTCTCGCTGTCCTTGCTCCTGATCATCACTCGGCATACGGAGAACTGGTGCAGAAGTACTTCGTAGCCCAAGGTCTTGCCTCTGGTCAGAAAGTCTGCATCATCCATGACGAACCCCTGAGATTTGCAAGGGAGGGCATTTGGATGGCCGGGAATACTCCATCGACGCCTGCACAAGCCAGTACAGCTGAGGATGCGGACGATGAGAAGGCGAGTCAGCATGATGATAAGATCAAGATTGCCTGGCGTTATGAGCAGATGAAGAAGTTCCAGACAACAGTTTCGTCTAACTCGTATGTAAGTCCTCTACTCACACCGGATGATACTGAGGTGTTCAACCAATTATAGTCTTAATGACGATCTCTGCATGTCATTTGATTTGACTTGCAGGATCCCCGCTACAGCCCTTGATGCTGCACGACAATCCGCCCAACTGATTCCGATTGATGTTGATATATTTGAGGATGGTACGGGAGTAATCGAACAGATCGAGGAGCTACTGTCGAACGGCACAGATGCACACGCTGTTCGAATATGTATCCCTGCTTTAGGATCGCCCCACTGGGGCGACATGCAACCACCAGTGAGATACAGCCACCTGCAAGCCCGAGGAGATCGTCGCTGATGCAATGATAGACTGTGTTGACCTTGCTGCACTCGCTTCGAAGGCTTCTGCATCGACATCCAAATGCTTGCGCCTCACTATCTCTCGCTCCTCATATGTGTACGGATACATGGGGAGGACCGGGGTGGGTTCAAAAAGTGGGGTGGCTAACAGATGCAGCAATCTCGATGTCGGCATTTGGTGGTGAGTATTGATACGTGTGCCTAACATAGATTTTCTGATGTGACGACGGTCATGTGCCCAGCTAACCCATCACTATCTTCTCTTTTCCCTTCCCATCACGGCATCGTTCAAATTCTGACGCTTCCGGCCCCCCATACTATTCTCCCAGCCAGTGATAAATATTCCACTCTCCGCGGGTTGTCATCGGCTGCAGGGTCGATGGGCGGAAGTGGAGAAAATAACCTTGCTTTCAAGTGTATGCGCAAACGTCTTATCTTTGAGACCATACACCTGGACTTGGAAGGTGGTGTGACTGAGCGGCGAACGACACCTTCCTCGAATGCTATGGCACTGGATGGCAACATGGTGCATGAAACGATGCCCGCTGCTGTTCTGGCGACTGAAGGCAGAAAGGGTTCACTTGCGACAGTGGAGGTTGAATTCGAACGTTCCAAAGAGGTAGTGTCCGATACTCCTACGGGTCGGGCTATACCCGATGCTGGCGGCTCCCTTGTTCCTGCAAAGCCAAAGAAGCCAAAGAAAAAGGTGGCGTTCCGTTCTGAGCGTCCTGATTTGTACGATTTTTGAAGGCAATTTATCTCCGTTACCCTGCACTGCTGAAGAATAAGCATCTGGAAGTTTTTTTTTGACTCGAGGGAAAGCCCTCCCCGTACACATGGCGATGACTACGGTACTGTATGCCCTGTTGTACCTGTAAATGGAAAAAGTGAGTGTTACTCATGAAGCCCAAGGTGTGTAACGACTGTCAATATTGGCCCTCGTTACGTTGGATTGACGAGGAGTGGAGAGTAGACAGCTGTACCCATTTGATGTCGGAGATACAAGTCACTAGGACTGGCTCCAGCATAATTGAATAACCATGAGCTGACGTGTGAAATCTAGAAAATTAGATTCGGAGAGCTTTCACCCTTGAACAGCTGTGTGATGTAACCATGTCGCGGTGATGGAGATATGATGAATGCATCGCACTGGGTTATACAGTAACTTTTTTTTTTTTGCTTAATTTATGGGAAAGAAAACGTGTTTTATGTAACAACATGAGAAGTGAGCACTGTAGTATACATAATGGCAAGGAACGTTTCTTGAAGCACTCTCATCTCACCCATGGACGAGCAAGTAACCATCAGAGCACTCATGTAAAGTCAAACTTTCATCACACTCTCTTGTTCTGTTGACAAGCTTCTTATCAGGAACGACCATCCCAACGTACTCAGGCCAGCTGGTTATACTTCATTATACGAAAAACCACTACCAATGCCACCAATTCATAATCATGCCCCATCAAGTTCAACTAGTTGGATACACTCAGAGATGGGACCTGGTGAGTTATATCATTCAATGTAGTGTTTCAATTTAGCGTATCATGCACTTAACTTAATGAGTGCTTCCTCGGCGCTTACCACAATAATTCTTTCCTTGTTTTCGACGTTCATTACCCGACCTTTTTTTTGCTCACCATTTTCAAAATCTAGACCATCCATCAACCGCCTTACCGCCTTCCAGCTCACTTTCTCCCAATCACCACCCCGGATCCCGCTCACGCTCCCCGACGCCATCTGTACCTGGTGAATCTGGGACCTGTTCCCAACATTACGGTACTCAGAATTTAACCAATATGAGACTTGCTGCGGATACTTCAAGTCTGGACGAGTCTCCATCTGCTGGCATTCCCCTCGTACCAGACCATTCGTTTCTACAAACACCTCTTGTGCGGTCGGTCTCCGAGGGCGAATCTTCTTTTCGTTTAGATTCATCTCCAACACATTCATTTGCACGACCCCCCAAGGTGCCACCGCTCCCAGATCCTTCTCAGTTCCCAGACCCATATCCCCAACGTTCCCAATATTCTCGCATGTCTGATAGGCTCTCTTCCACCCTGCCGGCTCTCTCTTCCGAAGGTTCCTCTTCCGCATCCACACGTTCGTCTGCATACACTAGCTCCGGAAGTGCACTGACATCAAGTGACTATGGCCATATTCACGTTGCTACAGGAGAGGACGACGAGATTGGTGTCGCAGTGGGAATTTCATCTGATGACGTGGACCAGATCTTGCAGACCAAGACCGTTACGCCTTCATCTGCAGGAAGGACTCCAATAGACCAAACCAGGTGGTCAGAATACTCAGCGAGTATTCGATCCAGGTCATCTTCCATCGGGCAAAATAACAATAACACTAACAGCATGCATGAAAACGGCATGCCACGTCTTCGAGAAAACCCTAGCTTCGACATGGGTTGGCAAACAGTAGATGAGAGAGATGAAGTTGGTTTGACAAGTGACGAAGAAACTGACGACCTCGGTGAGGAAGATGATGAGATTGACGACAAGGAGGAGGAAAGGACATCTGCGGTAGTGGTAGCTGAAGAAGGCCGCGGCCTCATTGTTACAGGCGAAGGCATCCCAGTTGTCCAGCTACGTGTTGAGCCAGGTGAGTGCGGGTGTTATTCACTCCAGGCATTTATCCAACTCATGACACCACCTTCATCAGGAACTACGCATCTACTTCTGGGATCGTCTAGCACGCCCGGTACGGTACCGACTTTCCTGCTGGGCGTCCTACCGCAAATATGCAATACCCTACTCGCGCTCGACATTTCCGCCAACTTCTTGAATGCGGTTCCTATTGCCCTTGCTTCATGTGAGAACCTAGAAGAGCTCAATGTCGCGTCCAATCCTCTTCGAGTCTTGCCCGCGTTCTTGACTAATCTCACGTCCCTGCGTGTGCTCATCGCGGATTCTACTGGTATTGGTAGCCTTCCCGATTCATTATGCGTGCTCGATAAGCTTCACACCCTTAGCGTTCGGAGGAACAAAATGCATTCCCTACCCAGCTGGCTGTGCCTCTTGCCTTCATTGCAGGAGCTTTATCTTGATGGCAACCCGTTTCAGGGACCTTGGCAAGCTTTGGTCGAGCCACTCCTCGCTAAAACTTCGGTGCCACCACTTTATCCCCCCTCGACATCCATTATCCCCCCTTCCCCCGCCAGCCTCGTTGATTTGTCTGTGGGGCCAGAGACAGACACGGAGTCGGAGCCTACTAGTGCGGGTCCGGAGGGGCCATCAGTCTCTCAATTTGATGACGACACTATTACGCCAGCCCGTGCTCCATTTCTTGGTCGTTCCGTAACCTCTCCGTCAACGCTACCCCTCCCGAAGGCTGCTCCGCGGGGTTTAATACGCACCAAGACTGCTCCAAATGGATCATTTTTCAGTTCAAAGTCGCGCCCCAGAACTGAAGTGGCTGATGGACTCGGGATGTCGAAGCACGTGGAAGACTCGGGTTACTACACAGATCACGATCTGCGGAGAATGAAGAGCGCGGGGGAACTACGTTCATCTTTCGATCAACGTGATTCTCAAATTTCTCCGCAGGACTCACCCACCGTCACCCCTGCCCTCCCAGCGCTCCCGAATTATTCGACCTCAGCGTCCAGCTTGAATTTGCTTACCGTGGTGGGTGCCTCACCGGAATCCGATCGCCTGAGTGTACCCAAACGATACGCCAGTCTCGGCGTTTCTTCGTCATCTTCTACCGTCACGCGTAATCCGCGGCCATCCTTACCTCAGGCACTGTTCGATCCGCCTTCAGGCACTCTAGAGCCCACAGCTCCTGAGTCCTCACGTATATCTGCCGTCGAAACTATCTCACCGGCGACTTCTCCGCGTCGAAAGTTGGCACGTGATCCGCCTCGATCTTCACCAGGTTATGGGGAGAGGAATAGCCTTGCAAGGCAGTCCCAATCTCACTCCAAGGACAGAGAAAAGAGCGGGCGATGGGGTTTCTTGAAGAAAATGTCGATGGGGAAGATGCGACCTGGACCCGACTCTCCTGCTTCTCCATATCGTCCGACCACCACGCACAACCGCACGTCTCAGCCCGAGTCGGGGATTGTATTTGCCTCAAATCCTACGACGCCGCACTCAAGCACGTCGCCTCAGATTGACCTTCGCTTCTCTACTACGGAAGTTTT